ACAGAACAAGTTCACTGGCTGGAATAAGTGCCGACTGCTCAGGGTCAGAGCCGAGTCCCCCTCCAAGAAATGATGGTTCAATTGTAAAGCGATTTCATCTGACACGTGTCGGACGATGAAAGGCCTTTGAGATTTAGTCTGATGTCAGAGATTAGGGAAGCACAATGGCACCAACTATGACCGATAATCACTCGAGGGTCACGGATGGAGCGGGAGCCAATCAACAATCCTGGACGGTTCGGTCACTGTAGAGGCTCCAATTAACTTAATCCAAGTCTTTGTGTCTCTGGACGTTTGGAGGAAGCAAAGGAAGAAAACCAACATGCAAACTCCACAGAGGAGCAGAGGAGATGAACTGAATCAGGTTTAGAGGACTGTTATTTACGAGCGTGTGCAATTTGGTGCAGCTCCATTTGATTTAAGGGAACTGTTGGGCCTTGGCGGACATTTGTGCACTCCTGAGTGCCGCAGCAGATTTCATGTAGGCGGGACCTTGACTGGTGGTGGTAGATTTCATGACTCTCCATTCAAACAACAAATTCCCCCGGTGGTTTTAACTTCATGCCAGCTTGCACACAGATTTCTTACCGGCCGTTGTACTGTCGTGTATAAAAACCTTTCCGTGCTTGTTTTATTTGTTTTCTGACTGAGCATCTTTACCTTGGATACAGGAGTGTGTGTTTACATCATCGACACCAACATGCTTTGTCACCGCAAGACTGTCTGTATCGGTGACCTAGAAGTCTGGGTTTATTGTGTTGGTGTTCCCAACACAAACTCTCAGACTGAATCATCACCGAGTTCCACTGTAAAACATTATATCTGTTGAGTCAGTCCATGTTTGTTTGTTGACAAGAACTCTGTGTGGGTGTTTTCAATTCCATCTGTGCGTTGATCTGTACGATTGTTTACTGAGCTGTTTGGTGCAGAAAGCAACAGATTCACAGTCACAATAAAAGACAAATGTGATGATGATATTCATGTGAAATAAGGGGGTGAGGTTTACTTTCTCATGCTCAACACATCAGGACGAAGAGATTCAGAATCCAGTGTGCAGACTTTGAGGAGCTCAGACAAATCCTGTCATGGTTTGAGATTAAACTTTTAGGTTTCCTGTTCTCAGCCGAGTGGAGAACTTTTAGCATTAGAATATCCGAGCAGCTTAAACACCACAGAGGTTTAAAGATTCAGGCCTTTTCTACACTCCTGCAGGTATTTACTCCTTTACAATATGTCCGTCCAGACGAGAACACAAAAACGACTACAAACGCTCAAATAAGCATGCTGTGCCAGTAGGTGGCGATGATCATTGACGACCGCTGTGTCCGAACAATATTTGGTGACGCCTGTGAATATTGGTATCGTGGCGCAGTGATGCACAATTTAGCTGCAAAACTTGTCGACCTTTTCTAGAAATTTCTGTTTTAAAACATTTGCATGTGGATGCAAATGGAAAATAATCGCTTTGCAGAACATCCGTATTATTCTGGGCAGGGCGTCAGAAGCTCAAATATGACGCTTTGTATTAATTCAGGCCAAACACAGCGTCGTCCTCTGGCGAGAGTCAAGCCCCAGGTGTGCATTGTCCCTAAAAAAAAAAAAGGCCTGTGGGTGACTTGATGGTCGGGACTGGCCTCAATGGTTTTCTCTCTCTTTGTGGCCGATTGATTGAACAGCAAGTGGATGATAAAGAGGCTGAAATGATGGATGAGAGCGTGGAAGGAGATCTTTCAATCAATCTGTCATCCGCAGTTCTCTTCTCATCCGCAGGAAACCGGACTGATGTCATGGTCGATACAGACAGGCTTTTGTCACTAGGAGACGTGTGTGTTTGTGTGTGTCTGTGTGTGTGTGTGTGTAAGAGGTGTTTATGCATGCAAGTGGTGTAGAGTGCCTGCTTCTGTTAGGGGCGGTGTGGGGTATGAATTAGTTTGTTTTCCTTCCGTGTGGTGGAAGTTTGTATAACTGAGGTGTGTGTGTGTGTGTGTGTGTGTGTGTGTTGTGCTGTAGTTAAGTAGGAAAATTGTCACCATCTGCTGCCTGGAAACTACCCGCTGACACCACACAGCAGACAATATAAATGCTCTGCTCAGCAGTTGGATCAGTGGGAGCAGTTCTACTAATCCACGAACACGTGTATTTGCATGTTTGATCTAAGTTTCCTTCTTCGTTTAAATTCACTTACGAGAAGATTAGCTCTCGAAAGACTCTTAAGAGCAGTGGTGGTGGTGGTGGGGGGGTCGGGGGTCGTGGTATGTAATTTGTACAGTTTGACACGTCACTGCAGGAAAAGCACAGGTGTAAATAAATTAGTGATGGCTTAATACCGCCAGGGGGCTGCTGTTGTGCACGCTGGCTTTACCGGGACGCATGACTAGAACGGAGCCATTGTTAATATTGTGAGTAACACCCGTGCTTTGCTGTGACAAGGCTGTTGTGACAAAGGCCTGTATGTAAATCTTTGTGTGTTCGGGAGAAAGAACAGAAGGAGGGGAGGCGATTAAAGGTTCTAGTAAATGAAAAAGCTTGCATCGTTTCCTGTGACCGATACTGGAGGAAAAAGTGAAATATGCAGTGATTCAGTCCCGATTCACAGACGCTTTGACTCGAAACCCTGCACTCACACTCACATGTACCTGCCTTGTGCTTCAGCTCTTCTCCAGAAATGTCTGAGGTTTTTTTTTTCCCACCGTAGCTCCGAGCGTTCTGGAATAACTTGGCGAGCTCATCTTCAGCAGCTCCAGAGCGCTGCTGGGAGTGAAGCCAGAGAGCAACATTGATTAGCAACATTATCACTTTATTGCTCCTGATACTCCTCTCACGCTCTCCCTCCCTCTCTCTCTCTCTCTCACACGCACACACACAAGGTTATTGCAGGTTTTTTCAGTTAAACTTCGGCTCCTGCTCTCAGTGAACAATGAGCTGTTCAAGGTCTTAGTTTTCCCACATGAAAATAAGAGTTTTACTGTTTTTTTCTTTTCAAGGCAGACGAGCTCTATTGCTTTGTGAGTTATGAGAATCTCTCCTCCGCCCCTGAGCTCGTCTCTGCTCTCAACTTATCACACGGTGAAAGAACACTTCTCTGAGGGAGTCACAATGTCTCCATTGAACACGATCATGTTTGTTGATGTTTTCCACTCAGCAATTACGACTTCGTCACATCTTGACGCACAACGTTTGAATTGCACAGCACAAAGAGACGGACCTGAATCACGGCTGCAATAGGTTGGCAAGGACAGTTTTAATAAAGCTGAGGAAATATTGAGCTAAAGTACAAGAAACAGTCTAAGGTTCTAATTGTTATCTGTTAGGTATAAATCTGTAGAGTTGCTTTGACATACAAAGAAGATGAATACCATTTTTACGTCAGTATGGTAAATATGAAGCTACAACAAGCATGTGGTTGAATAATAAAAACAATGCAGTGCGTTTAACTTGTTTAATGAAAAAGTATAAAAACGACAAGTTGTGGTTTTATGCCTGGCTTTGTGCAGAACTACTTCTTGGCCGGGAGCAGCGTCTTTATGAGCGTCTCCAGGAAGTTACTGCTCCCAGCCTGAAAAATTGTAGGTCACATAAACTCCATAACTCTGCAGCGTTTAATTTCTGCCCTTTGGTCAAAACTTTAAAATGTACTGTGTGAATCTTTAGGCTTTAGACGTGCAGCGCCACACTACCTTGTAGAAAGATAGATTCTTCACTGATCCAGAGGAAATGTAGGCATCCGGTAGCTTGAAACAAACAGACAGGGTGAGAAAAACCAAGGTGGAGTAAAAGTAGATGATCAACAAATTATCAGAAATATATTAGAAAATAATAAACTGAGGTGATGAACACTTAACCTGTTTCTGTGGAAGCTGTTTATTATAAGTGAAGTCAAGTAGCTGCTACATATTAAATGTGAATTAAATCGATCTGCTCGTCTAACTGACTCCAACTTTCACAAAATGTCCCCAAATCAAATTCACCCTTTTCATGTTGGTACATCTCCACAAAACCGGGACAACAAGGTCCAGTTGGTTCTAATTCTGTCAATAACTGATATTTCAGTAAACACAAGCATCTGTGTCACATATTTTTTTCTGCAGAGGTAAATACTTCAGCGGCTGCTCGTCCGGCTCCATCCTCTCACACCCGGCCTGTTATAGAACTCGGGCTGATCTACTGTGTATCAGCAGCCTCATTGTCCGCCTGCACATCAGCCGCATTGTGGGCTGCGGTGGCACCTGAGCCGGGAGGCAGAACCATGCAGGTGATTAATGCTCGCAGGACAGAGCTGGTGATAAATAAACAAACCAGACGCCCAGTTACTGTTGGAGGAGGCGGTGGAGACCCCCCCACCACCACCACGCCATATGCTGTTGGAGAGAACTGTTACTGTTTTCTGGCAGCAGCTTGATTTGTGGCTCCTGCAGAGGTGCAGAGCTCTAATAACACACACACCTATATATGTGTGTGTGTTAGACATATTGTCTGAGTGACCCTGGGTGCCAGCCACGCAGCTGCTGTTGAAAACACCTCAGATGAGTCAGACCATGATGGATATTCATGTTTGTGACTCAATGTTCGAGAAACTTTCAAGAGAAATGAAAAAAATAATAATAATTATGTTTGTTTGTCTTAAATGTTTTATCCTGTTGGCTTCACTTTCTGAGTATAAAGGAAAATATTGCACAGGGTCAACGTTGGACTGACAACACCCCCTGGTGGTTAAACATGAACATGATTAACCACCACATGATATTCCCTTTAGTGAGGATTCCACCAAGTTTCATGGAAATACGTTTGGTAGGTTTTGCGTAATCTTGCTCACAAACAAACAAATATACAAACCGACAAACACACTGAAGATCAGTGGTGGAAATATTTTAAAAGAAGAATTTCATTGCAGTAGATAAAACGGATTTGGATCTACAACCTTAATATTCCATAATCCTGGCAGCCACCACCCTGTGTAAAAAAATACACAATGAACAAGAATGAGATACTGAACACCGGGATGTCATCTCCGTCCTTTATTAAACACAGTAAACCTGAACAAACCAAAACTAACTCCATCAAATGACTCCTCCAGCTTTTTAATGAAACCAATATTTGAGGTCTGACGGCTTCATCGATTTTAAAGCCTCTGATCAAACAAACCCATCGAGACCTTCCTCGCACACTGCGGACATTTGGATTTGTCGAACACAGGTGTTCTTAGAATAAAAGCCGTGTTCAGTTTACGTGGAGCGTGTCCAGCTCTGGTGTTGTTGCCTGCTGGTTCACTGGCAGAGAGAGAATGAAGCGGAGTCATCAGAAATGTGATTTTTCAAACGAGTGAAAGTGAAAAGAGGCAAATGAAATGTTTTGGAAAATGGTCTGTCATTTGTTTGCAGCTGTTATAAACATTAAAGCAGCTTGAGTGAAGAACGCAGGCTGGAAAAATAATAAACATTTTTACTACAAGCCGAACCGATAAAAAGCCGCTGATGTGAGCTCTTCACAGACATCGACATTTATATTTGCCAATATGAAAGAAATTCATTTTACAGAATGAAGAAAAGATGAGCAGTTAAGTTTATATTTTACATTAAGAATATATTTTTCGAAATTAAGTTTGATATTTGTCGGGTGTATTAGTGCTTTCATTTAACTTATCGTTATCTATAATGAGGTTTATGGTTAAACTGTAAAATATCAAGCCTTGATTACATTTCTGTGTCATAAAGGTTCGATAACGACACCCTGGGAACTATTTCCAATTTTCTTTGAATGTATAATCAGCCAATATATCTGTATAAAAAATGATTCTCGCTGCGTCAGATCACAAAACTCCATTATCAGCCAAGCTCTCCCTTTGAAAACCCCCAATAAAAACACTCAGCAGTGGAATAAATGATTTTTTTTAAACAAGCACAGTGTTCGTTCTGCAGTAACTGTTGAAATATTGATCCCAGCAGCTCTTTTCACAACAGACAACAGACAAACTGTGTAAAACCACCAATAACATTAACAATGCCTCGTGCTGTTGTTCTACTCAAGTGTCGTCTCGTCCACGCTGGTGCTGCTCAGAAAGATCAGAACGACCAACAATCCAAACACTTTTTAAATATTTTATTTTAAAAAGGGAGTTGGAGCGTTCACATCTCTTTTTCCCCCAAAACCACCAATGTTTCAGAAATAAATGCTGACCTGGTCGCTGACTCCACATATAATGCAGATCCTATATATCACAAAAAAGATGCACATTGTCACAAATGAAGATGAGATTGTTCGGAAAAACACGTTTTCTCATCACGGGCGGACACATATCGACAGTATGTTGTGTATATAAACATAAACTTATAGAAGGAGCACAGATAACGCACACAGTCTCACGTCCACACACACTTAATACTTTTAGTTGTACATTTACACACATACAGTACATGCACGCACACTTTCACATACAGAAACCCTTTATAACGAGACAAAAGATTAGATTTGGTCCCAAGCAACCGGTTTATAGGCAGTTAATTACGAGAACCAGGAAATATCTCGTACCACACTTGGTAAAAAAAGTGTCAGTTTTGTGTTTCGTGTCAAATTTTCACAATTTTTTTTTGCTGAAATTAATATGAAAATCTTTTGGGGTAACTTTTTTGGTTATGACAGATAAAAATAAAAACAAATATTTTTTCTGTTTAGTCACCTGGAATAAAAAAAGTTTAGTTTGACACCAGCACTTTTCTTTCAGCCGACCTCAAATAACGGGGATTGTTCTCTGAGCTGTGATTTGTTTTTGCTTCAATTCGACCTCAGAGCGTCAAATCGATGAATAACTCCCCCAGTTTGACACCACAGACAATTTTCATACAAATACATTGTCACCAGAAAATCAACAAGTCTGGTGTAAACACAAAAAAACACATTCATTTATAGTATTTTACATATTTATAATATGAGGGTAACTATTTTGGTTTACCAGACAAGGAAAACATTTCATGAAAAGATTAACAATTGCACATAATCGTTGAGTAAAATATTGTCAAGGAGACAAGGAAACATTAAAAATGGAATTGCGATTAAAAATAAATCAACATTTGAACAAAATTGTACATTCGCTTTTCTTTATCCTCGACAAAATAAGGACAATGTCTTTTTTCTTGGAATAAAAAAAAAAATGTAAGAAAAGCTGCAGAGAACATGAAGAAGAGGCAAGTGTGTGTAAATAAAAGGTTTTAAAACAGACCCTTGCTTTTCTTCAGATTCTTTTGCTTCCAGTTTGGCAGCGCGTTGAACTCCGTTCGACTCATCTCAAGAAGTGTCTGAAAAACACAGAGGAAACATTCACAGTTTACAAATGACAAACTTTCTGGTCTAGAGCTGTATAATTACTTATCCATGTAATAATAATTAGGAAGTTATAAGTTTGTATACTTATTCAGGGTATCTGTTCTAACATGCCGTCACATACAAACCATATAAACGTCTCATCAGCAAAACAAAAATGCAACTGTCAAAAAGTTTCTACTTTCAATTTGACATTTCTTACAAACGCTTGAGTTTTTTTTTTTAAATGTTCCTGGTGGTGTAGTGTAGGCGTGTAGACCTTGAAGTCCTGGTCGGACAGGTAGTCCTCCAGGCGCAGTGGGTCCACTCCCTCTGGCAGTGGTTTGCGTGTAAGCTCCTCGATGGAGTACTGCTCCTTACTGAGCCTAGACAGCGCCTCCTTCACCAAGACCACCTTGTTCTTAGAGCTCTCCCCCTGCTCACACACGCAAAACAGGTAAACAGATGTAAAACTGTGGTTTTCATTTCTCCATTTAGCTCAAATTACACAACAGAACAGCAGGAAAGATTTATTTTGAGTCGAAGCTGCGATGCTCAGACACATCACAGTAAAAAGAGAAAGGTCTCTCACCTCGGGGGTGATGCTGGAATCTTTCTGCCAGTACGGGAAGATGTTAGTGAAGGTGAGGGGTTCACAGCCTGCGTGGACCAGATACGCCTGAGGGGGGCGCCGAGGGTTCTTCTCTGTAAACGACAAAAGGTGAATGATGCTTTTGAATTCAGTGACAAATAATGTGAACGACTCAGCTCTAATACACTCTCAGCAAAGATTCCTCCCGCGTGCGACCTCTGACCTTTGCAGTACTGCAGCACCGTCTCCATGGCACACTTCCTCTCGTTGTCCCAGCGCATCTTAGCAGAGCCGGTGCGCTGCGTGTCCTCAGGCTGCCAGCCCTGCCACAGGTACACCTCCATACGGTTATCCAGCAGGAACAGAGCTGGAGAAGTAATGACGCCAGGATTACACAGGGTTTCAGACTGAGAGGTAAATGAGTCTCCTGCTGTTGCTGTGACGGTTTGAAGTTTGCACTTTGAAATCCAGAGACAGGGAAGTGAACAAAAGTGTCTTTTAAACAAAATCACCGTGACAAGTTTTCATCAGTCCGAGATTTAAACAGGCAGCAAAGTGGAACTGAATGTTTTAGAGATGGGGGGGGGGGGCAGATACTAGCGTCAGTGGTACCTGGCTGTTGTGAGATGTAGAGGTTCTCCTGCAGGAACGGCATCGCCATGACTCCCTCCGTCACCCGAGCAGGGTACAGCCGCTCCTCCCCTTCGAAAACCCCAGAGCTGGCACTCAGCTTGAAGAGCCGGGCTGTGTAGTTGTACTTCCCGGGATCTGGGGGCAACGTGCAGCTCTCGTTAATGAGATGACTCAGCATGTGAGTGGTTCGTAGTGATGCGTCAGTGTGAGGACGAACCTTTCAGCATACAGTCGTACGCCTTCTTGTCCTTTAAGCCCAGAGCCTTCACGAACTCAGAGGGTTCAGCTCCTTCCTCCACCTCCTCAACTTTCACACTGCTGCTGCTGCTCAGACCCAACTCTGAGGGACATCTAACACACCCACAGAAAATAATACATGCACTTATTTTACACAGCCGGTACAACAGGAGCATCCATTGCACACACCTGCACGTGTCTTACCTCTGGGTTAGTTTGTCCGCAGCTCTCTTTGCGACCGGCCTGGCCCTGGCTTGTGCTTTACAGCCGTGCCACAGGTACAGCTTAGCTTTCTGGGCATTAAGAAGCACCAGACTGGCACGTGAGCGCAGATTGGAGCTCTGGCAGTTCACCTCCACCAGCGAGGCCTCCACCTCTGCCTCGCCACGGACACAGAACAACCTCCAGCCACCTGGACACACACACGGCGAGAACATATCCATAACCTGGGTGTTAGCACAAGCCTTTGAGATTGAACTAAGTGGAGACCCGCTGGGACGACGTGCATTGGTCTGTGAGCTGCTGTTTTGATGTTCAGCATCTGGGATGAGCCTGACTCGAGGACACGCCCATGAAAATTAAGATCATGTTACACAGGAGAAGATTTGAAACGAGTGATTGAGACAATAACCTCCTGAGGTAAAAGTTTACTGGGGTTACAAATTAAGTGTGAGGAGGAGTGTGGGAATATTTTTCAGAGCTGAAAACAATTTAAAATAAAATCTATTACCTGTGTTGTTGGCTCCATCTTCTCTGCTGCCCTTGTGGATGATCAAACCTCCCTGGAAGAGCTGGAGGAAGCATGGCGGCTCTTTCCCCTGACTCACCAACACCTGGATCCAAACAAACCAGATGAGGAAGGTCAAACTTTTACAACGAACTAACTGCTAAACAGGAACATTTTATTGATGGTGTGATGAAGTGCGACCCACTTGTGACCCCCTGTGGCTGCCCAGCTCCACCGTCATTAAAGCTGAGGTTCCTTTCTCGCTGATGCTGGAGTGTCGGCCCTGCCAGAAAAAACACGCTGTCCTCTCTCGACCGGGAGCTCCGGCGCTCAGCTCTCCGGGTTTCTGCCGCTTCCCCACTGACGGAACAGAAACACAGTGATGAAATCTGCCACAGTTACAATTTGTATTTCCCAACTTTTCAGTGATGCCTGGATAAACTGTTGACTTTTTAAAAACCCGACTAACCAAGTGTGGTGACGGAGTATTTCCAGCGGATGATGTAGGCGTCGCCCTCGTGTAGCTGGCCCAGACTCTCTTCGGGCAGCTCCTCCTCACTGTGCTCTTTAATGTGCCAGGCGTCTACAGCTATAGTAGCCAGCTCTGCCTGCCTCCCGTCCTCTGTCCTCACGAGGCCGTGGCCCCGCTGGACATTGACTCCCTCCAGGACGGTCTTCACCGGCTCAGGCTCGTTGTCCAGCAGCTCTCTGGCATCGCACGGCTGCAGTTCCAAGTCAAATGGGGAGCGGACAGCGGAATGGACCGGACTCTGAGCAGACAGAACGTTTTTACTTGGTTTTTAATTTGTTACTTAACTTAGTTAAAAATGCAAATGTATGAATATATCAGTTATTCCATTGCTTGATGTTTCTGATCTCCTCTACCTTGATTTCCTCAGCTAGAGCTGCTTCCTCTTTCTTCTTCTCAGCCCAGTCCAGGAACTTCTCTCTGAACAGTGACGTCTCGTTGTGCTCCGACAGCCGGCCAAACAGAGCCCAGCTCGGACGACCCTCCCCCTGCCTGGATATCACACCCACACGCTATCAGTTAAGTGTTGTGTAGGTGTACTGACCAAATAAAACCACTAGGGGCTACAATAACACAACCAATAACCTTAATAACTTGTGTCACACTCACTGTGGCACATCCTTATTCGTGCAGGAGGCATCCAGAGGGTTGACTCTGCAGCTGCTGTAGTCGTAGCTGCCGCTGTAGAGCTGTTTGCCGAGTTTGACGGCCACTTTTCTGTCACCCAAGGGCACGTCTTTCCCGTGCCACACGTATACTTCACCGCCAAAGTCAAACACTAACACCTGGTTTGAGGTGTCGGCGGCAGCAGCAAGGAAACAGAACAGAGAGCATGTCTGGGTGTTAAAGCCGTTATCACACCATGCAAGACAACGAGAAGCATCACACTTTCTATGCAGGACCTAAACTTTTATGGGGTCCGTTACTCTCTTAGTGGTTTTTACCTCCTTAGAGTCGAGCAAGGAGACACTCGGGATGGAGGCCCATGCATCATCATGAGGCACCAGTTTCTCTCCCTGGAGTCTGTACACCCCATTAGAGTCAAGAACCCCCGTCTCGTACAGCTCATCTTCCTCCGGCTCCCCTGCGCCTATAACACACACACACACACACACACACACACACACAC